TGGAGAGCGAGCCTAGATTAGGAAAATAGTGTTTCCATTGAGTTGCCACACCTTCGTGTCTGCGTTTCCGTTGTTGAAGACATGAATGCACGTCTCATCGCCGTAGGTGAGCGTCGGTAGCATACCAGGCTTCTCAGGGATATCTCGCCATTTGTGATGTCAGTATCAACAAAACCTGCATAGGTCGGCTTGTACAGGTTATGGTTGAGATGACCTGTACGCAAAGAAGCCCAAAGTCAAATCAACGCTAGCTAATTTGTGTATGCTAAATGCGTGAGACGATGAATTTAGGGACAAATGAGAATCAGAAGAAGCCATTGTTTAGCACCGCCCCCCGAGTTTAGCACATTTGCGAATAATTTGTTTTGGTGAGCGGGCCTGGACTAGGAAAATAGTGTTCCCTCCAAGTTGCGACACCTTGATGTATGTCTTTCTGTTGTTGAAGATGTGAATGCGTGCCTCATCGCCGCGGGCAAGCGCCGGAGAGACCCAAGAGAGGCTGCAGGTCCTCCCCCCTTTCCCAAAGCTCTCGACGACCGACCCATCAATCCACCAAGGAAAATGGAGAGAAGAAAGTAAGAAACAACACTTTCTGAACTTGTATAGCACAAGGACATGTTGAATGGTAGCATACAAAGCTTCTCTGGGATATCTTGCCATTTGCGATGTTAGCATCAACAAAACCTGCAAAGGTCGTCTTGTATATGTTCTGGTTCAGAGACGACCTACACCGAACAAACAAGCCCAACGTCAAATCAACACTAACTAATTTGTGTATGTTGCATGCGTGGGATTATGAATTTAAGGACAAATGAGAATCAGAAGATGACATTCCCTGGTGGGGTCGGAACGCACAAGGACGACTGACTAGCTTGGTGTTACTGATGTTGCGCGTTGCCTTTAACACCCGGAAGAAGACCGCCATTCTTTCCTCCAGCTTGGAAGATGCAAAATGTCCACACCGCTTGGAGTCATGGCTCCGGTACCAGTTGTGGGGCTGCACGTATATAGGGGGGCCACCCCCCTCCCCTAACCTGGGAAGAATCCTTTGAAGTTTTTTATCAATCCAATCACATCAGTTCAGTTGGAACATTTGAGGCCTACATGCATGGCCAATATGCACATGACGATGAATCTTATCCTTTTTAGTTAACGTATCTTAATCTTTTTAGTTAACGGAGCAGAATGTATGATGATGAGTTGAGATTAGAGCACATGACAAAGGTAGCGAAATTTACGGAGTAGAAGCAGATGGACTCAAAAAAGAGATACATGTGACGTTTGTAACCCGATCTTTACATGTTCTTGCTGCTTGACCAACCTGTCAGGATTTCCCCCTGAGCGTCTCGACCTCCTCGACTGGCCACTATCTCAGCTCCCTCCCGCTTGGGTTGAGTGAAACCTTCCTCGGAATGGCCAAAAAATATCACCCAAATACTTTGGTGATCACGATACAAATGAAAATCTTTTGGTTTGACTAAACTATACAACCATATGTATAAACGACGATGATATACACAGTTCAAAAAACATGGCAGCAGTGCATACATGCATGTTAGTGTGAAGCTACATGGATCAGGTGTCTTCAAATATTATGAGGGAAAAAAGGTACTACGCAAAATCACGGTGTTGCTATGGTTGTTGAGCATACAGAGATGGCAAAATGCAGGTTTCAATAATTTGCAAATTCTTATTTTATTGTGAAGAATTTGGAGCAAATTGACGTTTGAACTCATACGTGTTTCTAGTTGAGATGGCATATGAGTTCCCAGGTGCACCATGACAGAATTGCCAACCTGTAAGATTAGGACAAAACTAGCTCTTTTTTCCCAGGTAGAAATGACAAACTATAGTTCAACGAGGAATGCCAATCTTAAATTCGAGAATAATTTATTTTTACATGGCCTAAGTAATATTCGCTCTTTAGTTCCATAAAACAAAGAGATAATTTTATTTCAGAAAATAAGTGATGGTTTCTTTATTTCCTGCATCATGAGTTGCTACTTGCAACAATAGAAATAGAATAGAAATAGGAGGGGGGGCACTGCCCCCCGGGTTTAGCACATTTGCGAATAATTTGTTTTGGTGAGCGGGCTTGGACTAGGAAAGTAGTGTTCCCTTCGAGTTGCGACACCTTGATGTTCGCCTTTCCGTTGTTGAAGATGTGAATGCGTGCCTCATTGCCGCGGGCAAGCGTCGGAGAGACCCAAGAGAGGCTGCAAGTCCTCCCTCCTTCCCCAAAGATCTCAACGACCGACCCGTCAATCTACGAAGGAAAATGGAGAGAAGAAAGCAAGAAACAACACTTTCTGAACTTGTATAGCATGAGGAAATGTTGAATGGTAGCATATCAGGCTTCTCTGGGATATCTTACCCTTTGAGATGCCATTACCTGGTGGGGTCGAAGCACATAAGGACCACTAGCTTGGTGTCATTGATGTTGCGTGTGGCCTTGAACGCCTGGAAGAAGATCAGCGCTCTCTCCTCCAGCTTGTACGAGGCGAGCACCCATAGGCCCAAGGGGTTAATGCCACCTTGCAAGTCCGCGCCCCACACACTGTATAACTTCTGGGCATCGTTGGCCAGCGTTGAGTCCGGTGCCGCTGCTATCTCCAAGCTCGGTACCTCAACGAGGAATGCCACGATTTAATTCGGGAATAATTTCTTTTTACATGGCCTAAATTCACTCTTTACTACCACAAAACAAAGAGAGGATTTATATTTTAGAAACTAAGTGACGGTTTCTTCATTTCTCATACCGTGAGTTGCTACTTGCAATAACAGAAATAAGAGGGGGCACCGCCCCCCCCCCCCCGGGTTTAGCACATTTGCGAAGAATTTGTTATGGTTAGCAAGCTTGGACTAGGAAAATAGTGTTCCCTTCGAGTTGTGACTGTTGGGGAACACAGTATTTCAAAAAAATTCCTACGATCACGCAAGATCTATCTAGGAGATGCATAGCAACGAGAGGGCATAGTGTGCCTACGTGCCCTCGTAGAACGAAAGCGGAAGCATTGAGTAACGCGGTTGATGTAGTCGAACGTCTTCGCGATCCAACCGAACGCACGACACCTCCGCGATCTGCACACGTTCAACTCGGTGACGTCCCTCAAACTCTAGATCTAGCTGAGGCCGAAGGAGAGTTTCGTCAGCATGACGACGTGTTGATGGTGATGATGAAGTTACCGACGCAGGGCTTCCCCTAAGCACTACGACAATATGACCGAGGTGGAAATCTGTGGAGGGGGCACCGCACACGGCTAAGAAATCAACTTGTGTGTCTATGGGGTGCCCCCTCCCCCGTATATAAAGGAGGGGAGGAGGAGGAGGGCCGGCCACAAGGGGCGCGCCCAAAGGGAGGATTCCTACTCCTAGTAGGAGTAGGTTTCCCCGTTTCCTAGTCCAAGTAGGAGAAGAAGGAAGGAGAGGAGAGGGAGAAGGAAAGAGGGGGGCGCCGGCCCCTCCCTAGTCCAATTCGTACTTGCCATGGGGGGGCACGCGGCCAACCCTTTAGGCCCTTCTCTCCTTTCCCGTATGGCCCATTAAGGCCCACTACTCCCCCCGGCGAATTCCCATAACTCTCCGGTACTCCGAAAAATACCCGAATCACTCGAAACCTTTCCGATGTCCGAATATAGCCTTCCAATATATCGATATTTACGTCTCGACCATTTCGAGAC